GGGGGGGGGGGGGCGAGTGCAAATACGCTATAGGTATGTCAAGCTGTTGACTGATCCCGTAGAAGTTTCATTGATGCGACACTCGTTAGATCACAGTGTGTAGTCCTGTGTGTTGATTAACTGAATAGGGTGTTCTCATGCATCGAAGCTTTCACATTCTGTCAACTAGAGTCAGGATATAAGCTCCAGACCATCTCACAGCATGCTGCGAAAACAAAGGACCCCACGCGAGAAGAGTTGCTCGTTAAAACTGGGAGCGATTGATGTTAGGCCAACCGAGTTATGGAATCCCGTCGCATGGAGGTGGCAAACTACGAAGGCGCGGGGATTGGATTGTGAAATTTCCATTGCACTGTCTAATAAATCCACAAAGATATCTGTCTGTCGCTTGCCAGTGCTATGAGATCATAGATTTACTTAGTGGAGCAAAGCTGAAACTGGATTAACTTTGCTGTAAATCTTCGGTTGTGCAATCTAACCCGCTTTTTTAATTACACTCTTAGTGTCATGAACAGCAGACGGAGCATACCCTATGGTTACGAGGACCTGCTGTTCGGTGATGGAAGCCGGTGACCTAAGCCCCGGGACTTGGAGTGGCGAACCATATAAGGCCCCACTGGACTAGGCGTGGTATTAAACTAAACGACAGCAAAGGTGTCTGCCACCAAAGTTGGGTGTCCGTGGCGGTGCTCGTTCCTCGGATCATAGGTTCCAAAGTACGCTTGTGACAGCGACAGCTGCGGGGTTCAGCGATTCTGTTGACCTTTAGTTGACTGAGGATACGGTCCTACAATTGAAAGACGCACCGTTATTACCTACGGCGTTCTGGAATTCGCAGTGCCTCAGCTCACTTAGATTGTTGGTGAATAGTCGATTCCATGCATCATGTCACTTTTTGTCCAATGTACCTGATGATGAACAGTAGAATGGAAATATTTTAGGATACTGCAAGGTTGGGTGTCGCCGAGTCCTGTTCTGAAACTAGACGGTGAGGAATTAGCTGAAGTTGACTGCTTCTCGTACTTAGGTAGCTGCATGATCCAACGACTGTATCGCATCAAAGGAGATTGCCTCCCACATTTCCAAGGCTCGAGCAGCTTACGCGTAAGCTGTGGCGACGACGTGAAGTTTCACTGAAGCTGAAGATTCCCTAACTGCGTCACTGTACGATCAGCTCTGCTTTACGGTTGTGAGACCTTGAATTTGCGGATAAAAGACATCCGTTGTCTAGCGGTTTGGTAATGCACCAATGAGGAGCTGCCTATCACATGGAATTCACTCTAATAGTTGGTTAGGACACGTTTTGCTTATGTCCGACCGTCGCCTACTGCACAGACTTATACAGCCACGTGGAGGCCAGCGGATGACGTGCAGACGAGGCATAAAGAAATGTACAGAACGATTAGGTATGGTTGGTTTCTCTCGTCTTCCGGGTTGGGGTCCAAAAGACTCCGTACCCGCGTAGGTGTAGACGTTGAAGGTCATGGCTGCAAACCGACAGCAATGGCCATCTTGCTATCACTTCTTATCAGACCAGAATGCTTGAAAATGTATGTATGCACAATTGAACGGTGTACTGTGTGTGTTGACCATAGAGGTTCGCTTTCTCTTCCCGTCCCTAAAATTAAGTCCAACCCCTATCCTCCTTACACATGCTCACTTACCTTGTATGCAATATGAGTTTGGCAGCGGTCGATGAAGTTCGTTTCTTTTTGTTAAGCTGTACGGTAATGATCATCATGCTCATGATTTCGGATTCCCCGAAAGTTGATGTTTGACGTGACTGGAAACATTCAGTTGTCCCGGTATTGTTATCGATCGCGCTGTGGTTGGTTATGCTCATGGTTTATGCAGGTGGTCTACACTACCAGGTATCTCGATGATGTCTTATTAAGGACTCATTGCCCACCGAATTCACGATACACAAGCTGTTATGAGATATCCGAACCCGTGATTATTATTCTGGGACGGTGTTTATTTTTATCGGTTTATTGTTGTAGTTGCGCATGCTTTTACAATCATTGTGTATGTGTGCATCAGTTTCCGATCAGTCAGTGACAGCTAGCGCTAATGGAAATCCCTCACCCATCATTTACTGTTCACAATTCTGGTCGTGGTTTTTTACCCCTTAAATCTGGTGTCAAAGTGATTGCCACACCGGAAACCGAAACGTTTGTGATCATGTGTGCGTGTGTTTGCGAACCATATCGATCGGTACTGTTATTACCCTCTGAACAATTGAGCTATCCGCTGGTACATTCACAACGGGCTAATCCCGATTTCTCATTCACATTCTGGGAAAGTATGAGCTTAGCAGAGAAGTTCAGCTGGGAAGCCATTAACTGACTAACTGCTTGGTTCACACTTCTGCTTCGGGTCTGTGTCTGGGTGGATTTTTTCAAAATTCTCTGTCACGGTCGAAAACTAATCAAATTTGATGAATCGGAAAGTGTTTGAGCGCAACTCTTCTCTCGTGTTCGGTTTGAATCCCCTGTGTATGTAGCTTGTTCACACGGATTAACTCCTACGCGGATTTTCCATGCAAGCGTTCAACTTCCGCTTGCTTAGTCGGTCTGAAATGCATGCCTATTCCGTTGGATTCGTCATCTCCGAATGCAAAAGCTCAGCCCGGAGTCGATCGGTGTGTAAGAAAACAATGCTACCTTATTTTCCGGTCATACTCAGGACACTCGTTGCTACTCTACTGATGCTTCTTTGCTTTTGGTGGTGCAACTTTCGAATTGGGGCAGAATGTGACCACGTGCAAATAAGATGATATTTGTTTCAGGATAACGATAAGCAAACGACTAATTCTCTCTTCCGATACACTAAGAGAACTTGATACCATCAAATGGTACCAATCAAGTTTCTGCCGGTCATGAAATAGACACTCCCATAACGGTCAACCTGAAGGATGACCGAGCTTTATGAATCCAAGTTTTGAGGATTCAAGTCACAATTGACCTATATCATGGTACAAACGTTTACTAATTGGAGTGGTAGCTATATGGGGTTAGGAACGAGAGAACTATCTCTTGTTTTCACCCCCGTTTTCATCGCCTGCCATTTTTAGCTTTTTGTTAGGATATTATCGGAATCATAACATTTTGAATCGTTCTGCCACTGAGTCTCATTATGGGCCACATCATTCAGGGTTTCTCGCGAGAGGCCTTTGCGATAATTCTTTGTGCTCTGCCCGGAAAGTACAGCCCCATTAGCTTCTTCATTCCTTTTTGCGGTATATTGGACTGCCCATCACAAACTTCTTTTCAACTGCGCACGGCGCGCATGAATAAGATGCAAAACGTTAACCGTTTTGACAGGCATTCTCAACGCGTATCCCAGTCACCACAAACGGTGTGATGAGGTCGGGCGCTTCAGAGTCGAACACGCGTTGGTGTATTACGTTAATATGCCGGTTTTTAGCCTGGGCCCAGGCTAAAAACCGGCATATTAACGTAATACACCAATTCTTTCTAATCCACAAAGATAACCAGTATTTACATGAAAATTTCTAATTCCGAATTAAACGATGGGTTAGATCGTCGTTTGTAGTCTTTTAAGGGGCACAAGAGTTGCTGTGTGAGTTAGACTTCACGGACGTGTGTAGATCGATCGCGTGATTGACAACTGGTTTCTCGGTCGTTCTATGCTGATACAACTTTGATACGAGTGCCATTTTGATTGTTGATAAAGTCTTTGCAGTTTTATTGTCGAACCTGGCGTCGGACTGAGAAACTCGATGCTTCGAGCTAGACATAGGTTAAATGTTTGTTTGTATTTTCATCTAATTGGTATACAACAGATATACGATCACTTGGAAGGTGAATAATGACAAAAAATACTGCATGTAAAGGAAGAGCCATTAATCTGTCGATGATTCCACACTACTTCCACTCTACCTCACAGTCAGTATCCCGTTCGCCTTAGACACTAGTCCCCAGATCCTGTTCAATCTTATTGTCCTTTAGTATATAATGGTACGTTTCCATAAGCCTCACAGTTAAACTGTTCTTTCGCTGTACGGCGCCGGTTTCTCTCTGATGGCTTCAACCATAATAAACCGTGCGGTCTTCAATCCGGATACCGACTGTGTCCACCCTTCTACTCCAATCAACATTTTGCCAATTCCGTTTTGTCGTAATGTAGTGCGTACCGTCGGTATAGGCGAGTGCTGATTATGCGCGCGCGCGCGCGTGCGTATGTGGTGGAATACCAGTTCTGGTTATCCGTGGATAGTCATGTTCGTATGTTTGTGAAGAAGAGCGAACGGAATGAGGGTGCTTTTCTCGTTTCCATCATAAAGCGTCGATCATAAAATCTTCATTCCATCCCCGACCTCACCACTCCGTTCCGAGTTAACTGTTCTAATTTCTCCGATTAGAAGGTGTTTAACTGCCGCCATATATTTTTTTACAACTTTACGATTCACCTACAAGAAACTAACCAAAGGGCATTGTCTGACGGCATAGATAGGTGCGCTCGCAGGTAGTTCGAGGGTAGTTACCCACCGTTGGTGCACACGAAGTCATTGACCATTGGTACTGCCCTTCTTTTGGATACTGCACTCTTCCAGGCGCCTTCCATAAATTGTTGATCGCCGTGATTGATTCTTGAGTTATGTAGCTTCATCGGTTGAACCGAGCAGTGACTGAGTGCGACTGAATGCCTGGGATTTCAGTTGGAAAGCATCCGACACCCAGCTTTATCTCGCAGACACCTTATCACTGTCTGTTGCACCTATAATCGATCTTGTTGTACGCCATGCATCCGAGACATTAAATAAAACACTGGATACCCCTTTTTCGCGAACGAATTCCCAATTAACTATACCGTATAATCTTATAATATGTTTTTACCAGTTTATGCATGATTGTCAAATGGGGACCGCAGCATTCCACGAAACCAATGATAGATCAAAATGGTTGAAAACGGACAGTTCATGGCTTTATATGAAAT